CAAAACCGCAAATTTATTTTTGGTTTTGTTTTTATTTTTATTTCTGCTGATTAGCTTTTTACACTTTCCCGAAAAGGAACTTTAACTTTTCACTGACATTTAGATTTTATTTCATAACTTGTTGGCATTCTGGGATAAAAACTACCAAGCTAAATAATACTTAGGTTTTAGTAAAGTATTTCAGTAACATGATCACTGCAACATAATAACTACTTAAATTGTTCGGATTGTTGTTTTCAACTTTATTGTCATATTCACGACGTTTCGTTCGTTGTACGCTCCGGCCTTCTTCAGGTGATTGGAATTTCGAACTGAACCTTTTATAAAGTCCACTGGAGAAGATTGTTCTAGTTCCACGTGCTATGCTTCTTCCGGATGTCTCAGTTATCTCCCTTTAACTCAACTCTCCAAGTTTTTGTTCATCACTGCTGTAGCCAGGTATTGAACTCACAAATCTTGCAGTAAAGTCACTGGATCCAACCAACGCTTTTATCCACTGGGCTTTGAGAATAACTATTGATCAAAATAGATCGCTATTGAACTTTCACACCCTAACGTTGCTTCCTGTCATTCAGCAATAGGTTGCGCCCGGTACGACAGTCTGGACTGATATGTGGGACTCATACTATGGATTATTTATGCCGCAACATCATATAACACACGTGTGTTGACCCCGCATTAAACTGACTTTATATCTAATTTCCTCTCCTTATTTGAGACCGTCCTGGGTAAGACGATAAACTACGTCTGACAGCAAGGCCTCTGATGAGAAGGTTTTGAGGAGCATGGAACTACCTCTTAATTGCTGGTGTTCCCAGGTCCATTCTTTACCCAGGATGGTAACACCGGTTAGGGTCCTAGCTATGGTCAAATGGTTAACACCAAAACTTGGGTCAAAATTCTATGAATGTGTAAATTAGGTTTTAATACCAGAAATACTTTGTAAAAAAAATTATTACCAGGAATACATTTTTGAAAAAAGAAAAAAAGATATTGCCAGCAATACATTTTTTTTCGAAAAAAAAGATATTACCAGAAATAGATTTTTGAAAAAAACTAAAAATTAGAAGCAATAAAAATTTGGTCGGCATTAAATAACCCATTGGGGTTGATATACCGTAAAACAAACCCAACCAAGCGTTTCTAGTTTCTTTGCACTGTTTTACTCAAATTAAGGACTGACCAAGAATGGCAACTGCTAGTCGAAATATTTTCATTAAATAAATCATTCGTTGGAACTAAAAGTTTTTTCTTTTAATTATGCAACTACCAATGGAGACAAGCATACTAACTTTCAAACCAAACCTTATTTGAGGCAAATAAATGCAAGGAATAATGCTTGAATATATCTATCCTTCAACAATTTTAGTTTAAGAAGCTCGAATTGGATATTAATTAACCAATAAATTTAAGTTTACCTGACAAAATTGAAGGTATTTTTTACATTTTACAAACATTGATTTTGTTTCACGAGATTTATATTTTAAATTAAATTTAAATATTATAATTAACAATAACAAACAGAAACTACTGGCAGAAAGCAACGGTGTTGGGTGAGGGGCGAAAGTGTAATATCGCCCAAAATAGTTTCTAGCGATTCAAATGTTTAATAAGCTTCGAATTTAGAAGATGTAGTTCCTACTATATGCCATGACGTGGTCGATCATGGCTCTTTTATTTACACTATTTATATTCGGACTATTGTCTTCATCTTTGTTGTTGTTATCACAACGTTTCGGCCGTCGTGACCTCCGAGTTTCGTCAGGTGAAGTGAAATCTTTATTTAACTCAAGTAGGTTGGCTGTTCTCGTTCTACTGCCCATATCCCGAGATATCATGTCTAGTTTTTATTTATAGTACTGTCTTTGCTAGCGCTTAGCTTTTTCTGTTTTATTATATATATATATATATATATATATATATATATATATATATAGGGTGCGAGTGCTATTTGAGGACATTTTTAGTATGTTAATTAAACAGCAATATCTTAGCAAACAATGTATATATTTAATTCAAATTGACACAAATATCCTTCATGATACTTTTTTTATCTAATTATTCTATGAAACCACCTTTGGCTTCAATGACTGCTTCTATTCGAGCACGAACCCGTCCAAAGCTGCAATTAAGTGGTCCCTATTCATTTTGGGCATCACCTGGACAATAGCAGCCTTCAGTGCAGCTATGGTACTGTGAGGATGTCGGTTAGTCTCCCTTTCAATGACGCTCCACACGTAATATTCCAGAGGATTTAAATCTGGCGAGTTAGGGGGCTATATGTTGGGGGTCACACGATAGTAAAAATTCTTTGATAACCAATCCTGGCTTGAAGGTAATGAGTCTTGTTGAAAGACATATGGCCTTCCATTGCGTACTTTATTTATCCAGGGCTTAACTGCCGTTTTAAGAACATTAATGTATCCAGCAGCATTGACCCTACGATCTTGTGGGAAATGACATGACCTTCACTGTTCACAACTCCTGAAACCATCACAGTACCCGGGTATTTGATGTGCGTCACCCTGGGTACTTCAGAAGGAGATGCACATAGCCAAATGTCATTCCATCTGTTTGTTTTCTGATCTTGGTCAAAGTTTTTTCGTCAGAGAAAAACCAAAGCATGCCATGTTTGTAAGGATTTTTCACTTTGTTCAGCAACCGTTTTGAAAGCATGAGATGGTTTTCCTGTGTCTTTGCCGATATGAATTGGCCTTTCCTCATTACATATGACATATATCGAATGTCCTGATGTACCACGGTTCTGATAGTCCACTCTGATACCTGGTGTTCTTTGACGATGGACCTCATTGATCTTCCGGGGTTCTTATCGATGATGTTTTCAACATACTGTATAAATTCTGGTGTTCTCAAGGTATCAGAGCGCTGTGAATGCTTTTTTTCCTTTTTGCTACAGGGGAAACATTGCCATCCCATCCCTCTGGCTCCAACCGAAACTTATGAACAAATGATCTGGCAACATGTAAAATTAACTGATTTTTAAATCGCTGTGTTTTGCAGCTAAAGCAACAATGACAGCATCTCTTTTCATTTCTCGGGTTAACATCTTCCTCTGACTGGGTTACCTGAAATAAATAAAATAATAATATAAATGATTTGAGTGTGTAGTGAACTTAAAACAATATATCCTCAAATAGCACTCGCACCCAATATATATATATATTGATAATATATGGCGGTATATATATATATATATATATATATATATATATATTTCAAGAGGATAGAATTCAGGTAGAGCTCAATGTCCAGGACAGATCAAGCGTATAATATAAATGGCTCAAACACTAATATTCCATGGTTATAATTTATTACATTGCAATTGTAATCACGATCCAATTCATCAGACCTACAAATTCAGAAAGAAAGAAATATATATATATATATATATATATATATATATATATATATATATATATATATATATATAATTGGTATATACGGAATCAATTCCAATAACCAACAATTACTATATTTAAAAGAGTGCTCAATACAAAGTAGAGCAGATATAATTATTCTTTATAAAAAAAATTTATAACATAAATATGTTATAAAATCACTACAAAAATAGCCATTTTGTTTCAACACCCTCGGTGTCTTATCAAGTGATGATGTTGAATATTTGAAACAAAATGGCTATTTTTGTGGTGATTTTATAAGATATTTATGTTATAATTTTTTTTGTTTTTTTTATAAAAAATAATTATATATATATATATATATATATATATCTTCTAATCCCTGTTCTGCCAGCTGTTTACACAAGCTTGCTAGGTTGATCATTCGTTTTTGACGGCTACAATCTATGATGTGCAGATGATACAGTATTGATAGCAGACAGGAAAAAAACAAAAAATCCCCATAGAAGGTATTGAAAGAAAGCGAGAAGAAAGGACTAAACCAAATTACCAAGATAACAGGATGCATGATTCTTAGCAAAAGCAACAGGGCAACAAATTTGTCCAACGGCAAATTACAAATCGGAAATACCAAAAATCATGCAACTACAAAAATTTAAATATCTGGAAAGTGTTTTAACAGAGAATGGAAAGTGCGACACTGAAATCCAAAAGAATAGCCAAAAATGTCTTCCAAAAGTTAAGCAGTGTATAAAGAAACAGAAAAATTTCGTTAACGAGTACTGAACACTTACGCCATATCAGTTCTCCTATATGACAGTGAATACTCAACAATCTCCTCAAAGATTAAGAGACTTGAAGCAACAAAAATGCGGTTCTACAGAAGGATACTGAGGATACCATGAACCGAATATGTGAGCATCGACAAAATTTTAGAAAAAGTGGAGACAAAAAGGAAACATCGGTAAGAGACAGTTGAAATTTCTAGGGCGCATAATGAGGAAAGAGGGCTTGGAAAATTTGATACTCACAGGATAGACTAAAGGCAAGAGGGACAGAGGAAAACAACGCGTAATCTATTTAGCTTGGGTAAATGGATGGCGGAACGAGTTTTAGGAGAAAGACAATATTTATTAAGAGTTACTAAGAACAGGAATTTGTCGAGAGCCATGATCACCTACATCCTAAGGCGACACTGCACATGAAGGTCTCAGCAATGTTTATCTTTTTACCATTCCTCCCACACCCTTTTCTGTCATCCATTTTCAAAGCTCGTGATGTAGATTACCCACTGCTTGCCTCTGACCGTATTGCCTTTATATGCCCTGTGGGTGACAAATTTCCAGGCTTCCTTTCCTCGTTGTGTCCTAGAAAATTCAACTCTTTCCAATTCTAAATACAAGCGTGCGTTTGCTTCCGTTTTTCTTGCAAAAACTTCCTCGTAGCTCACATGTTCATTCCGTGGTATTCTTAGTATATTTCTGTAGAACCAGATGCCTATTGCCTCAAGCTTCCTCTTCATCTGTGTATCCAGTGCCATACAGGAGGACTGAAATGACATGGGAGGTCCGCACTGTTTTCTTTTTCTAATGAAACTTTCCTGTTTCTTCACGTTTTAGCCTACGGTCAAATCACGCTAAAAACACTGGTTTTCGTCCGATTACCGAGGTTAAGCAATCTGAGCCTGGTCAGCACTTAGATGAGGGATCAATTGGGAACTCTGGGTACTGTAAGCGACCCCCTACAATCTGTAATATGTTTCGACATTAAATAATCCACAAAAGGTTGACAAACCGTAAAAAAACAGCAACATATTGTCGTGCTTTGCTTTGCGTTTGAAAGGCTTCAGTGTGCTTTCAGATGTGTTACGTAAACATATGATCTACCTTCCGACTATGACATACCAGAACAACGCAAGTGTGTGTTGGTGAGTTGAGAAAATTCTCTATATTAAAATAATACAGGGCGAGACAAAAGTTGTGCACCATGGAGATAATTTATTAAAAGTACAATTACACATGAAAATTTTATTTACTAGTTATTTAATTGTTATGTGCTGTTGAAGAATCTCTCCTCCTATTTTAAAATGCATTATGGGACTGCATTACCACGTCGGAGAGTTTCCTCTGTCATTTGACTGCATTCATATTTAATTCTTTTTTTTTAACTTCCTCAATATTGCTTGGGCGCGTCTGATAATCAACTGATTTTAAATGGCTCCACAGAAAAAAAATACAAAAGTCTGAAGTCTGGTGAACTTGGTGGCCACTCAACATGAGCTCTTCGATCAATCCATTAGCCTATATGGCGCCTGACTTCTGCCTTACCCTGTATATTAAAAATAGATATATACGGAATAAGATAAGAAAAACAAGTAGTAGTCTTTATTTAATATACTATGGTAATATATAAAAAAAATAATAACATATGATAAAAAAACTTAAAGGAAATTATTATTATGACTAATAATATCCCTGTCTGCAAACAATATGGACATTATTCAGAAATGCTATAAATAAATGTTGGGTATTGAATCGCATAATTTTCCAGCAAATGAAATCTAGATGAGAGTGTAAAATTTGGACAGTTACACCTCACTTTTTTTTCTTGCGCATGTAGATAATCTTTATTAACACATCGAAGATTTTCCTGTTATTTTACTGCATTTATATTTAATTCTTTCTTTAAGTTCCACAATATTTCATATATTTCTGATAAACAACTGAATTTAAATGCCCCCCACCCTTGCGCCAAAAAATACAAGGGTCTGAGGTGTGGTGAACTCGGCGGTCACTCAACAGGAGCTCTTCGACCTCTCCATTAACCCTTATGGCGCTCGATTTTTGCCTCACCCTGCATATTAAAAATAGATATATACGGAATAAGACAAGAAAAAGAAGTAAGAGTTATATTTAATATACTATGGTAATATACTAAACAAATGATACCATATGATAAAAAAAACCTAAAGGAAATTATTATTTTAACTAATACTATCCTTGTCTGTAAACAATTTGAACGTGATTTAGAAATACTATTAAAAAAAATATTAGGCATTTTTTCGGAATTTTCCAGCAAATGATATCGAGATGAGATTGTAATATTTGGCCAGGTACAACACTCAATTTTTTTTCTTGCGCACGTAGACAATTTTCTTTAAGGTACATCACATATTTAAGAAGAATCATGGACATGGATAACATACTTAAGTAGCACCCTTTTGGATTTCGCAGTAATTAACTATAGACCTTTTTTTTTAACCAACTGAAACCAAGTTTGCCAAATTCGTTTCGTAAAACCTATTTATTTCTTTTTCTATATAAAAGATCGATCTAGCTCAACTCAAAAAAATACTTTTCACCTCCTTACCTGTTCGTCAAACGCCCCAACGTTACACCGAGCAACATTAGCGAGCTTTAATAAGGTCAATTGATTCATGGATTTGTTTTGTTTTTTTACGATTTATCAACCCTTTTTCGGTTATTTAAAGCCGAAACATATCTAGGAATAATAAGTAAGAATAATTGTCTTTTTTGCCTGTGAATATTGCATAAAACATTTTTATAGATAAATTTAAATGAAATGTCAATCGCTATCTTGATTACTCTTCTTTTATTGTTCTCACTCCTTAGTCGTGTTTTTTTATTTTTCCTTATTCTTTCACAAACATTAACCCCTCTGTTTTAGTGAATTTACTGCCTTGCTTGGGGGGAAACAATGATTTCTCCAGATACAAGTCCGACTATTTTAAGTACTAATTAATATGTGGATGAAAAGATGAATTCATAGCTTTCTCAAGAGCATTTGCGCGTAAATGAATGTAATGAATTCGACTGGAATTCGAACTCTGGTCTCCGATTTTTCATTCCTAGCCAATATCTAGTACACCATCTTCAGCATTCATTACCCACATCAACGAACTACAAAGACTTTATTACCAGTATTCTTAAATGCCTAAGAGACGGGGAGAGATTTTTTTTTTCAAGAAATTTTGTCGATTCTGTTTCGTTATGATCGTTAGAAAATACTAACAATCATAACGAATAGTTCATCATTATAAATACCTGAATTTTATAATGAATATGAAATTCCGTGTCTTACTTTCGATGTAAGGTAATATGTATATTTATTAATATATACTTTATGGCTCTTTATTACCACATTGAGCTCTGTTTTGTGATATATATTCATTTGTAAATCTATATATCCGAGTAATCGCACGTATTATTCATTTAATTAATTCATAATTATATATATATATATATATATATATATATAAAAGAAAAACAGACCACTTTAAGGTACCATTATAATAATTTATTTCACCAGAGCCCTTATAAAGGACGCCGGGTCATCAGATAGCACTTCCAAAAATGAAATGAAACGAAAAATGAAATTAAAATTGATGGGTAGTGTAAGTTTTTGTGCTTTAACAGAGAGTGTAAAAGGAGTAGTTAAAGAGACATGGTAGAGTATAGGGAGGGATTAATTTCATATCTCTCTCAAGTATACTTAATATTGGGGGAGGAGGAGTGACCAGACGTTGACCTATTTAGACGGTTAACTTAACGGAAATGATATATTGAAATGGGAGGGGAGAAGGGAGAAAAGAAAAAGGAAAAAGAAAGAAGAGGGAGAAGGAAGTAAAGAGAAAGAGGCTGTAATTGGGTTTTAGCAATTTATGTAAAAAATAGATTTTAATGCTTGATAGTAATTTAGATGTCTAATATATATATATATATATATATATATATATATATATATATATATATATATATGAGAGGTTTTTTAGAGATGTGCCATTTTCACTGAAGTTATTTTATTAGTAGTTTATCAATATCATGTCTTTTGATGCAATCTTTATCCTCCTGAACAAACAGTGCCTCGAGCGAAAGTGTTGTGTTAAACGAGAATATATATGCATCTCTCTCTTTTGAAGGACATATCCCTTCTAGACGTAGGGAATCATATCTCTACAATGTTTCTTTTTTATTTTAATACTTGTAAAATATGAATCGCCATAATTGTTCTTATGAAATACAGAGGTGTGGTTACCGGTTGCTTTGTCTACGATTTTAAATTCAGAGTGTGCTGGTTCCAATACTGTATGGAATTGTTTCTCCTCTCCAATTTATAGGCAGAAGCACGCAAATACATGCTCGGAGATTTTCCTAGCCAATAAAGTAGGCCAATTCTTGGTTTCATCTGACTCAGTCCCGGTTTGCTTTGTCTTGAAGTCAAAACGCTTCGTTCGTTCACCCAGAGTTGCTCTTGGGAGTCAGTACCTATTTTTAGCTTGCAAACTTTTTGATTTATTACTGTTAATTTGCATTGCATGTATTTCCTGCTTGCTTTAAATTATGTTTGTCCTGTTCTTTTCTTTGCTTTTTCTTGCTCGTTATGAACATTGTCATTTCTGTTTATTGTTCAGTTCTGCTATTTATTTACATTTAACCATGGCCACTCACTATGCAAAGTGGTTGTGTTCCTGGAACGTTTGTCAGTCAAGTCTAGAGAGCCCAGTCTACGCATCTATTTATTTCCTTATTTGTATGCCTTTGTAGAAAAATCACTTGGTCGAGATAAACACTCAGTTGCGGAGAAAGCTGAGTGAATTATAACTCAACCTTAAGAGAGCTATTTATGGTGCCATGGAGCATCTCATTGTGCTAAAGTGGGATAGTCCATTGCTTGGGCTGTGATTGGCTGCTGGTACATGAGTGGAGGTATTTCTGTATAAATACCAGCTTGATTCATCAGTTAGTTTGCAGGGTTTGTATTGAGTTACAACCTGCTTTATTTTTGTCTGCCAGCTGGACGCTAGGTGGGACCTTTACGCCGGTAAGTGCTGTTTATTATTGTTATTCTACAGCCTTTCCCAAGACAATTAGGGCAAAGTAAACGTAAACAGTTTCCACTGGGATTTGAACCCAGCTCGCTAATTTAAAATTTCCGCAATAGTAACCGTCAGACCATTCATACTTCCCATATACGTAAATATATTTTATTTATATACGTGTTCACATATCCTGTATTTACATACACAAAAGGTGCCACATTGACGCCTTAAAGAATTTGAACAGATCACTTCCTCTTTTCTGATATCATATTTTACCTTTTCAACATGAATACTTTGTTCTAAAAACTCATTTCCCTTATTTGATATAAATATAATTCGTCCTCAAGCCCAAAGACATAACAGATAATTATTTACTTTGACATCTATTATCAGTGGTGGCGAAATACAAATAGAATCATACATTGTTTTTAGTCTGTCTTTGCATTGATGTCTGTGGGTGAGTCCCGAGGACGCACAGGCGGAATTTTGAAGACCAACAGTTCAATGCACCCACTGCAATGCAGGTGACATTTTTATGACACACACCTCGACAGAAAATAAAACTATGTTAAGTACAAATACCTCAAGACAAAAAAAAGGCATTTTTCAACTACAGATTTAAAACGATAAACCATTTCTTCATTAAAAAACTAATTTCATCCCAAGCAAGGCAATAAAGCCACTAAGACTTAAGGGGGTTTCTGGGTGAGAATACGAGAAAAACCTATTAAGGAAAGAGAACAAGAAAAGAAAAAGAATTAAGACCTTTGATAATGACTGACATTGCATTTAAATTTATGAAGACCAAACTTGACTGGAAAGCAAGAAGCCGGAAGAGAGTTCCACAAGCGAGATGTGCGAGAATTGTTAGCATAGAACTTACGGTTACACCAAG